AAATTAGTACATATATTGAACGTACTTTGAATTCAGAAATGTCTGGTAATGTCATTGATTTATGCCCTGTTGGTGCTTTAACCGCCAAACCGTATGCCTTCTCATATCGTCCATGGGAACTAAGAAGGACGGAATCAATTGATGTTTTGGACGCTATCGGTAGTAACATTAGAGTAGATTCAAGGGGAGTTGAGGTTATGCGAATCTTGCCTAAAATAAATGATCAAGTGAATGAAGAATGGATTTCTGATAAAACAAGGTTTGCCTTTGATGGACTTAAAAGGCAAAGACTCACCACACCATTAATTCGTCAAGACGATAAATTTATAGTTGCTTCATGGGAACAGGCCTTGACACGTGTAGCCAATGAAATTCATCAGGTTAAAGGTTCTGAAGCCAAAGCAATCGCTGGACAGCTTGCAGATACAGAGAGCTTGGTTGCCCTTAAAGATCTGTTTAATCGCATTGGTTCAGATAATTTTGCCATAGATACGACTAATGGATCTCAGGTACCCGCTCATGGTGCTGATATTAGGTCAAATTATCTTTTGAACAGCAAGATTGCGGGCATTGAAAAAGCCGATGTATTGTTATTAGTAGGTACCAATCCACGTCATGAAGGTCCTATACTTAACACTAGGATCTTTAATAGCTATCTTCGTAATGGACTGGACGTTGGATTAATAGGGTTTGCCGCCAATACTACTTATGATTATGATCATATTGGCGATAATAGCAAAGCACTTGAAAATATATTAAATGAGAATCATCCGTTTGCCAAAAGGATTGCTGAAGCTAAGAGACCATTGATTATAGTTGGTAGCGGTGTTTTAGGTAATCCTGATTCCGAATACGTATTTTCTACTATAGCAAAAATAACGAACAAATATAAGAACTCCTTCTTCCAGGGTGATTGGAATGGATATAACGTATTACAAATGGTCAGTATATCACTTGTTCATTGCATATTTATTTTTAGCTGATTTCAATATCTTTGTTTGTATGTATTTAATATTATTGTTGTTATTACTATTATTATCATCATTATCATTGATAGTCTGCAAGTAGGGCTGCAGCTTATGATATAGGATTTATTCCATCATCAGAGACTTCAAATATCACACCTAGATTCGTTTATTTATTGGGTGCGGATGAAATCGTTCCTCAAGATATTCCAAAGGATGCATTTGTGGTGTATCAGGGCCATCATGGTGATACCGGTGCATATTATGCTGACGTAATCCTCCCTGGTGCCGCTTATACTGAGAAGAGTGTGACATATGTAAACACCGAAGGTCGATCACAATTGACACGCGCGGCAGTTCCACCCCCAGGAGCTGCACGTGAGGATTGGAAGGTAACGTCGTGCACTTTTTTGTTCACCCTCCTCGCTATTTATTTTGAAACCTAAAATTATATCTTTTGTTTATTGATTAGATCATTCGAGCGTTGTCAGAACTAGCAGGCGTTACATTACCATATGATGACTTACACTCTCTTCGTGACCGTATGAGTGATATTGCACCGCATCTTACACGATATGATGTAGTTGAGAGAGTGAGTAATCCCGAATTAGGACTTTCACGATTGGTGAATAAATCCACAAAGTCGTCACGAGCGATATTCAAGCCTATCATTCAAGACTTTTATATGACTGACAGTATTTCACGGGCTAGCCAGACTATGGCCAAGTGTAGTGGCGCTTTCACACATGATCCACTAAAACAATGATTAATGATTAATTATTTATTATTTATTTATGGATTTTTTTTTTTTTTTCATTATTTTCATTAAAACGTTTGTTATTGTGAAAAATAAAGTAGGTAGTCACGAGATAAGAATGTGGTAAATCGTTTATAAAAAAGGAATACTGATATTTGAACAAAGATAGAAACAAACAAATGTACGAAATAAATTAAATGTAACAATGTACAAAATTAGTAGTAAAAAAAAAAAAAAAACTAGAACGGGTAATTTCGGCTATCTCATGGTGTGTAACTTTACAATTAAGTAAAAATTACAAAAAAAAAAAACTTTATATTATTTGACAGGATGTAATAATAAATGGAGTTGGGAAGGGACCATACATAAATTAAATAAGGTTACGGGTTTTCTTTTTTATTACGAACAATAATAACGGGTAGACTTTATATTATTACACAAAATGATGAATGATTTCAAAAAAAGGGGGGGATGTTGTTTAGATTACTTTCGAGAATCCTTTAACGAATTTCAAAAAAGGTAAATTTTTTTCTCTTGACACATGGACCATTTAAATTTTTTTTTATAAAATAATGATTACAAGGAGATCAGACCTCTTTCCACAATCAAAATCAAAGAAGAATGACGCTAAAGTCAAGTGAATGTGAAACCCGAACCATTACATTTTCAAATAGTAGAATGTGGCTTGCATAAAAATCTTAAAGAAGGGTAGATCATTATGACTATGCCTTTTTCGATATTATTGTTGATATGAAATAGAAAACTTAGATTTACTTTTATATTTAATTTGATCTGGCCTTTTTTTTTTTTTTTCATGAAACGTCTTATCGATATTATCTTAAAATGATTGTTCTCCTTTAATCTAACCCTCCGGGGTACTTTCTTTTCTTGGCAACAATCTTTTCTTTTGGAAGCCCATGTAATATAATGAAACGGTTTGGAATTCGCCAAATTCTTCCGACGACAGATTTTACGTAACAAGTGCCCTAAAAAAGGAAATTCATACCCAATGGATGGGTTTCAAAATAAAGATTCAACAGTTTATTTTCGACAGATTTCTCTCGCTAATTAAGATGAAAGGGTTGTGTGTACAATCGGCACGTTTTTTCTTTTTATCATTATTATGATTTTTTTTTTTAAAAAAAAAGAAAAAAGCAGACCCCTTATTTTTTTTTTACAATAAGCCATTTGATGTAACAATCAAATGCTAATAATATTATGTTTAGGAAAATATGCTTAAACGCACGCATCGTGCAGATTTTGAGATGTGTTATGTCAATCCAACATGAAAGTTCCATCAAGGCTGTTCTTTCCTGGCGTTTTTCTTTCTTTCTTTCACTTTTTCATTACAATTAATAAATATAATAACGGAAGATGTATCCGATAAAAAAATTTACTAATTTCAATGACATTACATTAGTTATTGATTGTCCTGGGGAATGTTATCACCATACATAATCTATACATACTTTTAACCCTGCCTACGAGTTCAATTGAGATATAATCTACAAATCGCAGAAGATTTGAAAGATTTCTTTTGACGGGTAGCACAGGTTTGACATTGAAACGATGAATGATGGGGAGGAGGTAAAACAAAAAAAAAAAAAAAAAAAACGCACACGCCTAATTCCCGCGACCCTTTTCATTAAAGATCAAGTAATCAAGAGAGAATGAGGTCCGGGAGCAAACAAAATCTTACCACGTATCTTACATCTAATCAGTCATATGAAAATAGATATATCTATTTTAGATGGATTAAATATAGGATTGCTCTTTTAGATTAGTTTGTGCGATTACTTTTTTTTGACAAATTCATTTTTAATTGTCTATTCTTGGGTAGTAAATTATACTTGGAATGAAAATTAGGTGAAGAAAAAAAAAAAGTAAAAAATTTTTATTTATAGGATAAAACGTGGCGAGTTGTATAATGTCCAAAGGGGGATTAAGTAATGATTAAGTGTATCAGAAGTATGCGATGCTTTGTTAAAATATCCATGTCTAGTCAAGGTTTCAGGATAAACTAGTTTTATTCCTTGTTTATTATTTTATTATCTATTGTCTATGTGTGTCTATTATTTATTTAATTTTTTTTTTTTTTTTAATGTATCGTAAATCCACTTTACTTGATGACATCTCGAATGATAAATAATCCTCATTATTATGGCCGTTAATTTTTTCCGATGGCAAAAGGATTATTTCGATGTTTCAGAGTTACATTTCACATACTATTAGAATTAATTTGATCAATTGCATTTCCTATCTTTCAAACTTTATTAACCGGGCAAACAATATGAAAAAAAAAATAAAATAAAAATAAAAATAATCCCTAGTTTTTTCACCCGGGTTATAATTTCTATAATGACAATTATAATAAACGCACACACAACAAAGAATGATTGGCGACCCCTCTCATTCAATCTGAATGATGTTCAAGTAAAATCAATGCCCGAGGGTGTTTGTAACACGAGAAGTTAACGTAACATATCTTATTTATGTTGTGCCAAATGAATCAATTGATAGTTGGTTCCTAATATATCACACTATGATCCATTTAGTACTTACAATACCAACTTTTTTTTATGTGCTTTTTGCTTTACTTCCATTTCAACCTTTTTTATTTTATTTTCTTTTTTTTTTTCCCTTTAATCTCCTCCCCACATAAAATAAAACAATATATTCTTCTTCTTTTGGTTTGATAATTATATTAATTATATGGTTAATCATCATCCTGTTTTCCTTTTTATTAATTTTTTTTCCGCCGAAATCGATACAAGTGGCATAAATAATAATCAAATAATCAAATGTATAAATACATAGCCACACAATTCACACAATAAAAAAAAAAAAAAAAAAAATAAAGACAAGTTTTTTTTTTTTTTTAGAAAAATAAAAAATATATATATAGTCACTTATATTTTTTCCTTGACATAAAAAATAAATAAATAAATAAACCAAAAAATCCCAAGGGACCAACGTTTATTTTAAAAACTTTTTACCCTTTCCAAAATTTTCTCTCTTTCTTTGATAGGAAGGAAGAAAAAGGATACCCGAAACGGAAAAAAGAGACTATATAAACTTTACACTTTACCTAAACACGTTAAACCACATACTTCACCTTTGATTAAAAAAAAAAAAAAAAAAAAATGAAACCATTGGGTAAAAACTCGGCTAATAATTCCACCAACGCAACTCAAACGGAAAATGGTAATGGAGGAAGCGGTAAAGGCATTTTATCAAAAGTAAAGAGTTTTCGTAAAAAAGACCGAAACAGCGTCGTCATGGATGATAATACAAATACAAATACAAAAGAAAAGGAGTCCAGCAATAGCAAAAGAAATAGTTTTATTAATAGCATTAAGAATCCTCGAAATAGTATCGTGGTGGACGATCCACAAGACACCCAAGATCATGAAAAGTTAAGTAAATTGTATAAAGATTTAAAAGAAAAAATGGAAAAAACTGAATCAGAAAAATTCAAAGTTGAAACCCGTAACCAAGATTTATTAAAAGAAGTTGAAAAATTAAAAAATGAAGATCATCCTGCGAAATCACGTGACGTTCAAACTTCTGACGACTCTTCTGAACTTGAGCAACAATTACAACAATTAAGAGATGAATTAAAACAAAAAGATGAAACGATTCAAAAACTTGAATCAGACTTAAACATCTCCAAACAAGAAATCGGTAAATTATCTGATAATTCAAAGAGTGAAAATCTTGAATTTGAAAAAGTAAAGGCTGAACTTCAAGATCAAAAATCCTTGGTGGAGAATTTAACCAAGGAACTTTCGGTTTGTAAACAGGAAGTTGAAAAGGTTAAAAAGGATGCCCTGGAACAAACTCAGCAGTCAGTCGAATCTGAAACTGAAAAATCTCGTGTCGTCTTGGAAGTCAGTAAGCATGAAATAAACCATCTTAAATCTGAATTGAATCAACGTGATTCCACCATACAGCAATTAAAATCGGATTTGACCGCTAGTAAAAAAGAGAATGAAAAACTTTCGGAATTTGAAAACATTAAATTAGCTTTAAAATCTTCTCAACAAGAATCTGAAAATTTTAAAACTAAACTTGTTGATCAATCAGGTTTAATTGAAAAGCTTCAAAAAGAATCTCAACAAAGAAGTGATGATAATGAAAGACTTGTTAAAGACCTTAACCTTGTCAAAGAAGAAGTTTCTAAAGTTAAACTTGATAATGAAAATCAAATTAATCAAATTCAAATCGTTAATAATTTGAATTCTGATTTGAAAAGCCAAGTCGAGGATTTAACTAAACAAGTTGAAGATGCAAAGAAAGAAACTGAAGTCGCGAGAAAAGAAGCCGAAAATGCAAGTAAGGAAGGCTCAGTTGATAAATCCGTTCAAGATCAATTAGAAAAATTTGAAAATGAAAATCTTTCAATGAAGTCTCAAATTGAAAAACTCAATGAAGAACTTACACAACGTGATTCTACTTTGAAATCAACAACTTCAGAATTACAAAACGTTTCAGAGCAGTGTAATGAAGCATTACGTGAACTTGTTCTAACTAAATCCGAATTGCAAAGTGCACAAGAATCCGTACGTAATCAAGATGATTTAAAAAATCAAAATGCCGATTTACGTTTACAACTTGAAACCAAAGATGATACGATACGACAACAAAAAATTCAATTACTTGATACGATTCCAAAGGATCAATTTGACTCCTTACAAAAAGATCTCGAACAAACTAAATTGGAACTGGATTCAAAAATAAATGAATTACAATCTACTAAATCGGAATTGGAATTGAAAAGTCAAATTTTATCTTCGACTGATACCTCCTCTTTGGAAGAGTTAAAATCTCAATTATCTACCGCTAAAGCTCAATTGAATGCTAATGAATGGGAAAAGAAGCGAAGTGAACGTTCTATCTTTGAATTAAAATCTCAAGTTGATAATTTATCTCACAACAAAGGTGTGTTAAGAAATCATTAGTTTAAATTTTTTTTTTTTTTTCGGAGAAATTTCCCCTAACGTCCTTTCGTTATTAAGAACAATGTCAACAACTTGGTATCGAAAACGCTAAACTACGACAACAACTCGATCAAATGAATACTAAAGGTTTGTCTCATATTAACCAAAAATTTTTTTTTTTTTTCCGAAAATTAAACTAAGCTAATACTTTTTTTTTTATATAAAGTCCGTAATATGGATAAACTGATGCAAGATAATGAGAGATTAAGATTCGATAACGAGAAATTATTGGAATCATCGAGAAAAGCTCATGAATTAAAGAGTAAAGAATCTTCTTCTTCTCCTTCACCTACATCTCTAAAATCCTCTCCAAAATCCTCTCCAAAGTCATTACCAAAGACAAATGGTGTGGTAGATTCTAAATCGAATGGTATTGAATTGACAAAACCTGAATCTCCTCTTTTAGCTTCCTCTCCAACGAACACTATAAGCAACAAATCAAAACGTAATAGTGTAGTACAATCAAATGGTGTCACAGCTACACCTAAAGCAAACTTTGAATCAAGTGAAACTAACAATAGTGGTAATCAACCTATACCAAGACCAAAGAAGGATGACGGAAATGGCGAATGGTTCACTGTCAAGAAGAGAAACACGAAGGCAAGGAACAGCACGGTAATAGATTAATATAATTAATGATTATTTGGGAGAAAGGTGATTGATTAAATTGATCAGATTTTGATGATTTCTTGAATTTAATTAATTATATTCATTCCATCAAACAACATCATCGTCACATCATCACACAATCACATAATCTATCTCCTCCCTTTACCCATTATATAATTCTCCCCACTCCTCTCTTTATATATTATAATAATTAAAGGCGACGAACAACAACAACAACAACAACGCGATTGGGGAATCATCTAGAAATCATCAATCTTTAACCAAAGTATCCGGATGGATTTTATTTATATTTAAGATTATATTAATTACTCTATTATTTATTACAATTGGTTATACATTTAATTTATCTAATTTAACAGAAAGTACTAGTTTTTTCGATTTTTATAAACAATATCATATCGATATTTATTAAATATAATGTTATCATTATTTTTTTTTTTAAAAAAAAACCCCCCCCCCCCTTTTTTTATTACTGCTTTGAGAACAGCTTTTTTTTTTAGTTTTAGTTTTCGGCATTATAAAGAAAAAAAATTGATTTTTATTTTATTTTATTATTTTTTTTTTTTTTTAGGTTTCTTTATAGACATTTTTTCTTTTGTGTATAGTGTAAATATTATATATATGCATTCAATTTTCATCCGTCTTTTTTGAACTTTTTTTTTTTGGGTTTTAAGGATTCATTTTATCAAAAATATTTTATTTTATTTTTTTTTTTTTTTTATTTACAATTATACAAATCAGATTTAATTCTTTTATTTGAAACGAAAAATTATCTTTATCATGTAATCTATTAAAATTTATATTAAATGTTATAATACTTAAAAAACTAATTTTTATATAATTAAATTATTTTCATATTAAATTAAAATAGTATTATAATTTGAATAAAGTATTTATGTTAATATAATATCAGTATACTTCTAATTAATTATAAAATTAACATCTTAGAGAATAATAAAATATATAAATATTATATTATCAAGAATTTTAAAAATAAAAATTTTAATTATTAATTGGATTAAATTTTTTTACTATTTAACTATTCATATTTATTTTTAATTATATATTATTAAATTTTGATATTAGCTTTAAATTTTTTAATAAAATTTAATAACTTAAATTATTAAAAATTATTATATTTATATAATATATTAGTTATTAATGATTAATAATATAATTATATTATAAATCACTAATGATTTAAAATAAATTATAAAGATAATTTCATAATCTAGAAATAACTTTATAATCTGATAGTAGTAGTAGTAATTTCATAGTCTAAAATATCTAGTGGTAAATTCATAATCTAATTATATAATTAATTGTATTTTTATAACCTAATTATATAATCTAATGATAATTTCATAATCTATTGATAACTTTATAATCTATCTTTTAGTTTTCTTTACAGCTTCCTAGTTATTATTTTAGTTAATTTCTACTATATTATTTTATAAAATTGTTTAATCAAATAGTAACTTCATAATCTAATAATAATTGAAATATTTAATCTAATAGTAATTTTAAAATCTAACAGTTATACTTTACTTCTTATTTTTTAAGTTGTTTAGATATTAAGTTCTTTGATTGTAGTGTTGATCTTCTATTTCTATTTAGATGTTAGGTTTTATAATGCTAATGCTGATCTTCTATATTAGTTTAATTGCTAGGAAAAAGGTATTTTTTTCTTTTAATTACTATTTCTTGATCACTAGATAAAATATGAAGTGTTAAATTTGCAATCTATCTACTTATCAAATGTTTTATAATCTATTTACTATTTATAATATGTAATATTTTGAAGATTTATAATAGGTAAATTCCTAAAATTTTATGGATTTTATAAATCATTGTTCGTTTGCATAATACTTTTTTATTAAAAATTTATCAATGTTATAATTATTTTGTTAGATAAATAAATTTTTCTCTTCCTATTAATTAATACTATTATCACATTTAAGTAAAAAAAGATTTTAGTAAAATAAGTCAGTAATACATAAACTTATTTAATATTAAATAAAATATTAATTATATTAAATAAATATAACTTACATTATTGAATTAATTTTTTAATTTCATTATTATATTTATTTATATTATAAAAATGTTCATTTTCTTTTATTAATTCTATTATAGTCAAAAACTGAGAAAAAAATTGTTTCTCTATAAATTCTAATAGTAAAAAAACCCAAAAAAAAATAAGAAAACTAATACAGTTAGATCTTGATATAGCGAACTTTTAATATAATGAATTTTTTGAACAAATATAATAAAATACTCTTAATATAGTGAATTAGCCAATCAAATTTCTTAAAATCTTCATTATCTTTTCATCTGTAATGCAGGCAAATTTGCCTGCAAACATAAAAAAAAGTATTAATTTTTTAATAAAAAATAAAATATTAATGTTAATAATATAATTATTATATAAAAAAT